ATAGGGTAATTTTCAGCCTCTTTTTTTTTTTTCTCACAAAATTCAACGTCAATAGAGGGCTGAGCCAAAATCAAGTGGCTCCCACCAAGCCAAATTAGAGCCTTTTGGCCATCGGGTTAGGCATGTTGAGCTTGCCTGGCAGCCCGTTTGTTGGTTTCTTTTTTCTCTAAAGGATGAAATTCAAAAAAAAAATTCTAATTTTTCCTATAAATATCTAAGTCATTTCTACACCATTTCTCACCTCTTTTTCACCCTTCTATATTATCTTACCTTATTTTAATCCAATTCTTCACATTCCATTCACCTCAAACACTCTTTTTGATACACATCCCTCTCTTTCCTCTTCCAATAATCTAAATTTAAAATTTTCAATTATTTTTTCAAAAGGCACTCAAAATATGTCTCGATAACCTTATTCATTTAACAACAATTAACACTCAAAATATGTCCGGATAAATTTATTTTAATATGGTAGTTTAATTCAATTAACCAATAAAGTTAAAGAACAAACTTAAAAATAATAAATTATTGAGGAGACTAAAAAACTAGCGTATTCAGTTGAAAATGGTATATAAATATGGCATGACTCTGTTCATTTAAAAATAATTTTTTACATGGCTATAACTTTGGACAGGGCTAAACATAGCTCATTTGGTTGGAGATGGCCTAAGAAACGTATCTTTTGGCACCAAAACGCTATCATGGTGTTGCCATCAAAAGCCCAAGCGGTAGAGATGCTTGTTTAAATAGATAATTAAGCTACAAAACATATTAATAGTCCCACCATGCCTTGTACGGAAAGTCACAAATGTTAACTACATTGAAATATTTGAGAATTCAAGAGAAAATGAAGAAGAAAGAGTAACAGAGAGAAAGATGAACGAGAGAATTTAGAGATAGAAAAATGAGACATGTATTCACTTTTACAAAATGATTAACAATTCTGTTTTTATAACAGAAATCCTAACTCTAACCAAATACTAACAAACTTACTAACTAATTGCCGACTTGTACAATCATTTTAACTAACCACCTAACTAAGGCTTTTTAGCCAAAATGGTCATTGAGATTTGCATAACACATCACTTTGGTCCCTGAAATTGAAAATCAATAGAAATGGTCCCTGAGATTGTCCACCATCCATTATTTTGGTCCTTCCGTTAAAAACTCCGTTAAATGTCCTAAAGCTCTTGGCCGGAAGTTTGGGCAATTTTCAAAGCTTCGAAACTCAATCGTTTCTTAACCAAATTCGACCCATAATATATCAAAATCAAGATAAGAAAGTGTAGAATAAGATTACACATATTTGGAATGGTTGCCGGAAATGGCCATAAAATAACTTGAAAGGTGACTGGTCCGCAGGAAAACTGGAAAACTCGCCAGAAACTGGGTAAACTTTAAACGTTCGTAACTTCTTCAATACTCAACGAAATCGAGTGATTCAAAAACAAAAATCATACTTCTCAACGGGAAGAAGAGAATGGTACCTTTTTTAGTGGCTAATTCGCTGTGGTTTGGGCAAAAAAAGATCGAAAGTGGCTAACTCGAGACCAAGACAGCCACTTTTGAGCCGTTCTTGGGCCAAAACACGATGATTTAGTCATCGATAAAGGTATCATTCTCTTCGTCTCATCAAGAAGTATGATTTTTGTTTTTGAATCACTCGATTTCGTTGAGTATTGAAGAAGTTGTAAACGTTTAAAGTTTACCCAGTTTCTGGCAAGTTTTCCAATTTTCCCGAGGACCAGTCAGCTTTCGGGCCATTTTCCGGCCATCTCCGGCGACCATTGGGCTTCCAAATAGGTGTAATATTGTTCTACACTTTCCTATCTTCATTTTGATATATCATGGGTCGAATTTGGTTAAGAAACAATTGAGTTACGAAGCTTTGAAAATTACTCAAACTTTCGGCCAAGAGCTCCGGGACACTTAACGGAGTGACCAAAATAATGGATGGTGGACAATCTCAGGGACCATTTCTATTGATTTTCAATCTCATGGACCAAAGTGATGTATTATGCAAATCTCAGGGATCATTTTGGCTAAAAAGGCATTAATAGTGTAGAACCCTTAATAACAAGACTTGATGAATCTAGAGTCTTTACCAAGGACTACTGAATTTTGCTAAAAACATAATGATTGTGAATTGTTGATTCGCAAATTTGGCATGACAAAAATAAAAGGTTTGTTGTGTGATTAGTTAGTTGATTAAACAACTAACTAAATATTTAACTTATCGTAATAAACAGACACATGTTTCGTTAACATGATTCTCAAATAATAATTGAGCACATGGATATAACTAATAGAAGTAATAATAGAGGGCCACATATATATTTCCGATTGTTCACATGAATCATATCAAAAGCTAATAGGCACGTCTCTATTTTTTTTCCTTTTTGGTGAAAACGCAAACCCACAACATAACTATGAAAATGACAATGAGACAAGATCTTTAATTTGTGAACGAAGATAAGAATCCAGTCCCTTCTAATGACTGAAAAAACAAATTGATGAACTTGGTTTGAGTTTTTGTTAAGTGACTAGCGATGAAATAGATCATCCATGATATCTTTTTCAAAATGAGATTTGATTATGAACTCAACCACAACTCTTACAGTCTTGACCACTCGTTGTCTACTAGATGCGCCGGATATTTCTGCACCACCATCCCAATCAATTTCAAAGGCTTCAAGGCTGTCCATTGTAAATGATCTTCTTTTTTATTTTTATTTTTAATTTTTAACTCCAATTTCAGTTCCGCTTCACTTGGGGCATAGATCGAAGCTTTGAAGGAATCAACCTTTTCCTCTTCAATGAGACCCTATACCATTGCATATACCAAATGTTACTAAGCAATAAATTAAGCTCGTGTTTGTACACGCTAAAATATATATGCTTATGAAAAATAAGAAAACTATTTTGACACATAAAATTGATATTTTTACTTACGGCTCTTTAGAGATATACTCTTGCAACTCATGTTTCATAAAAAACCCACCTAATATTAAACATTCAAATAAAATCAATCCAAATTTAAAATAAACTGCATGTAGACAAATAAGTGACTTATTATATATCACAAAATATTTACAATTTATGTCACAACGACCTAATCATGATGAACAATGAACCCCATATGGAAATTCAGATTATAAATATTAATAACATATATATATGTATTAATAATATATATCCTGACAAAAAATTTAAAAATATGTAAATCAATTTGTAGATATGTTAGTTAAATTTTTCAATAAATAACATTCCTATATTTTATAAGAAAAGTGTTTTTCATGTATTATTATTATTATTATTGCATAAAATTATGTATGTTTCCTTCTCCCACTCTATCTCTATTCATATCTCCAGCAGCCCCAATCTCCTCCCTCATTTCCCTTTAATTATTCCCTCTCCTACCTTCACCAGCACTCCATCCAAACTCTAATGGCATAGAAGATGTGAATATATATATATATATATATATATATATATATATATATATATATATATAGAGCCTGGAACCATGGCTTCTAATCTCTTGTAATTTTTTGTTGTCATGCCGACAATTTTATTTTCATTTTTCTGTGGTTTAGAAGGAGAGAATCAAATGCCCGCATGTGAAGTTAGAAAGTTTGAATAATTTCAACAAAAAGAAAAAAGGCTTAATTGTATTGGGGAGGGAAGGAAAATACATTGATGACAATTAAAAATTAGTTTGATTGATTTCATAAATTTTTTATTAATGAAAAACATAGTTATTTTTCCATTAATAAAAATGCATAATCCACCTCATTTGCCACATGATTCTCTTTAATTGATATGAATGAAGAAAGTTGGGGTTCTACCGTAAAATCAATTGGCAATTGGGGAGTAGCCCAACTTATTTATAAACCCATGCAAGGTCTCTTCTCCCATCAACGTATGACTCATTCTCAACACGCTCCCTCATGTGTGGTGAATTTTCAAGCCTAACATATGCACAACACAACGGGGTGACGTGGAGCACGTGTGGCCATTTGGCTTCACACGTGGGACAACCTACTTTAATACCATGAATAAAGTTGAAGTTCCACCATAAAACCAATTGGTAATTGGGGAGTAGCCCAACTTACTCATAAGCCCATACAAGATCCCTCTTCCTATTAATGTGTGACTCATTCTCAACACTTTGCACCCCAATTGACACAAAACTGATATGAAATTGTAGTATATTTAGGTGGTAGGAATGTATAGTTATTACTGCAATGGTTTAGCAAAAGTACAAGTGGATTGGGCTTCGTTCACCCCAAAAAGTAGTCCATTGGGCTTCTGAGTGCTTAATGTGATCTTGATGAGTCCGTAATGGGCCAAGCCCGTATTAAATCACATCCCAAACGAATCCAAATTTAGATATCTTGTCGCGGCCGACCTCGTTCTTATGAATTCTTTATCTATTTTTTTTTGGTCCACCAAAAGTCATTTTCAACATAGAGAGTTGTATTCAACTGAAATTTTGATTTTAATTATTTTCTTTTAAGAATTTAAAGATATTCAATTAAAATTTTAGGATGTATTCAATTGGGAATTTGAGAGATTTTACTGGATTTATAATTTCATAGATTTTTATGGAGTTTAACTGATTTTTAAGAATTTTAATAAATTATCTTAAAATCTTGATTTAATGCATATTGAATTTCAGAAAATCACTTAAAATCTTGATTGAATACCCTTAGATTCATTAAAATAATTAAAATCCCTAAAAATCTCAATTGAATACACTCCAAAGTAATTGTGAAAATTTAGGCGTATTAAGTTAGAATTTCAAAAGAGTTTTATACATATTCAATGAGAATAAATATCAAATAATTTTTAAAAAGTCAAATAATTTGAAAAAAAAATTGGAAAATTTAGTATTTTTTAAGGTTCACAAATTTCACATTTCTCTGTCAACAATTTGAGAAACTTTACATAAAATCTCTAAAAACATTTAAATCTTATCAAAATTCATAAATTTATAAATCCGTAAGTGGGTTTTGGGTTTAGGTTGCCAGAATTTTGGCATAATATAATCTAATAAGATTACGCGGACAGCAAAATCAGCATCTCCAAAAGTTGAAAGCTTTCAGTAAAAGGTGGAAGGTGGCCACTGACCAAGTTATCAGACGCCATTAGAATTTGTTCGAGTCCAAACAAAGAGAGATTCCCCACTGCGATTTCGTCGTCACCTCATCTCTATTAAATCGTCCTTTGCGAGCTGGGTTTAGTTCTCGTCAGCTGATTCCTGAAAGGTGGAAGAAAACCCAAAAACCCAAGACTGTAGATCTTATCTCATCGATCAGGTACATGCATATTTTCGATTTTTTTTCAGATTTTTGGTTCTGGGTATTTGAAGAAATGGAAAAAGATGGGATCTTTAGAATGTGCAGTGACGGAGAGCAGCTGAAACGCGGCCAACGGCGAGATATGGAGGTCGTTTTGGAGAAGAAAGACGCTGCTGATTGGGCTTACAGAGGCGAAGGGGCTGCTAATCTTGTTCTTGCATACACCGGATCCTCCCCCGCTTTTGTATGTTTCACTCTACCTTGAGCTTCAATCTTGCATTTTAATTTTTAATTTGAATTTTTATGGAAATAGTTGAAATTTGTGGTAGTTTGTGAAAGGGGTTGGAATTGGGAAATGATTGTTATTGTGATCATGCTTGCAGCTTAGAAAGTTTGTGTGTCTGTGTATGTAGATTGGGAAAGTAATGCGGTTGCAGAAGGCTCGAACTAATGGGTCAAAGGCCTCGAACAGTCCCACGGCATTAACCGCCCACGAACTTCTTTTGTGGAAAGACGTGGATGACATTGTAGCCACCTCTAACAAAGAACTTGCCTGCCAACTCTATGTGAAGAACGTCATGAGCCCTTTATTGGGTTCTGCGTATGTTGATGCCGGGGTATGTGAAAATCTGAGTTTATACATGTACAAATGAATATGTTTGTTGAACGGAAACTATGTTGATGTTTTATCTATCTTTCCGGGATAACTATGCATGAAAGTTTTAAAACTATGTCAATATAGTTTGTAGATTTGGTTTTCCTGTGAACTTGTGCATGAATGGTTTAAGAGTTGCATATTGTATTGTTGTATAACCTTCAAGTTGAATTTTGGCAGATGCGTGTCCCTGTTTCCAGGGAATTCTTGGAGTCGGTTGAGAAGAACGTAATTAGTCAGCGTCCTGCTTCTCGAGTTGATGCCACTAAAGTTGACACCCAAAGTGATACTGTGCTTCTCATGTCTGATCATTCTCTTTTTCCTCGTGGTAATTAGCGCCTCCCTTTATTTACAACTTTTACATTTAGAACTGTCTGTCCTACACTTGTCTGTCAATCTTAGCTATTGGGGTTAACAGCGTCTTCTGTGTGATGGTTTAATTTAGCTCCAAAGTCGGATGGCTTATTTAGCCTATGATCCAGGTTTTCTTTTGCATGCCTGTTTTCCTTGCTTCCACTTGAAATTATCCCTTTACTTTTTACACTTCTCGGATAAAGTATGAGGTAATATAACATCTGGCACCTACACCACAACTCAGAGAAACAGGAAGAGAAACCTTGAGATGGCATTCTGCTTAGCATCATAGGAAATTTATATCTTATTCAATGTAGACACATCTATCTATTTGAATATTGTCTTGTGGCATATATGATAAGAAGTTTGCTTTTTTTTTTTTTTTGTTTGTTTGTTTGTTTTAAGTGATAGCTTATTCTGCTTTGTTCATTTCAGTTACTCAAGAAGTTGAACCCTGTATATCTGTAGAGATTAAGGTACTTGTCATGTAAATTTTTGTCTCTTTTGCCCTTACATGAGGAATACCCTTTAATTATAATTGACTATTCCCTTTTCCCTTTCAATTGTTTCCAAAAATAGCCAAAATGTGGATTTCTCCCATCTTCAAAGTTCATTGATGAAGGAAATTCCATTAAACGAAGCATTACTCGTTTTAGGATGCACCAAGCCTTGAAGTTTCATGATGGAGAGGTACTCTTTTAATATGTTCTTCTCTTGGTCAACTTTTTTACTACACTGGAACTCATTTGAAATGAGCCAATTGAGTTCAATATACTCAATGGGAATGCCATTTTATCTGATTCTTAGAACTTCTGTGCACAAATTTACGCAAAGCGAATCCTGTTATAGTAAATGTTCAATTCTGACTTGGATGCATCTAAATGTGTGTTGCAGGTATCAGAATATAGTGCATATGATCCACTCGATCTGTTCTCTGGATCCAAGGACAGGATACATAAAGCTATCAAGGATCTCTTCTCAACCCCACAGAACAACTTCCGTGTATTCTTGAATGGTTCTCTAATATTTGGGGGCTTAGGCGGTGGTGCACACAGTACCAATTTGGCAATTGGAGGAGCATTTGAAGATGCACTTAAGGGTGTCATTCAGAGAGGTGATGGCAAGCGCACAATGAGTTTTTTACAGCTTGTTGCTGAAACAGTTCATAAATCTGGAGTGTTGGACCAGCTCCTTGAGGCCCAGAAACTTGATAATCTTGACATCGAGGGGGCTATCCATGCGTATTATGACATTATTTCTGAGCCTTGCATGGTATGTAGAGAATTGGGTAAAGAAAAAGTGTCACAGAAATATTTGTCATTGCATTCCATGTCTCTGGATGAAAGCTTGAAGATGGTGAAGGACTTCTTGATAGCTACTAGTGCGAAGGACTGCAGTTTGATGATTAGTTTTAGACCAAGGAAAGATGGGAATCCAGGATCTCCTTGTAATAACTTGTATCTGGAATCAACCAACCAGTCTTTTGATTACAAGGTAAATATCTATTTACCATAGCATGTTACAGACTTCAAAGGTTTCCTCTAGTAATCCAACCATTTCTTAACAGCTAGAGCACATTTAAAATTATAATCATTACTCCGCTAAGTTGAAAAGTGAAATTCCCATTGGGGTAAATCATTCCGTATGACATTAATATCTTATTTGATTTGCTTTTTCCTAGGTGAATTTCATTGACCTGGATTTGAAACATTTGGGGAAGATGGAAGAATATTATGAGTTGGACAAAAAGATAGTGAGCTGCTACAATCAAATGGTGGAAACTGAGGAAAGACAAAAGAAAACTGCCAGCACAAAGGCTCTTCAAACTGCCAATTGAGATTAGTAGTTACGATGCCATGGAGGATTTTTACTTAAAGATTGTAAGTACAAGTTAGCTGATATATAGTCATTTTTCTGTAAATTTTCGATGCTGTAATTGTATTTGTATGTAGACTTTGTTAACTACATTGAAAAACTATGAAGATCAATGGATGACAGAGTCGAAGAAGAAGGGAAGGAGAGAGTGAGAGAAAGAGAGAGATTGTATTAATGCTTCAGAAAATGTTACAATGTTTTACTTACTGAAGTGAAAGCCCTATCACCTCTTATATATCCACAAGTGCTAATTACAACAGTACCCTTCTACCTATATCAACTAATTCATCTTCTAGACAATGCCATGTGGCATTTCTGTTATATTGGTTATTACTCCCCCCTCAAACCGAACTTGGAATTTCCAAGTGAAGTTTGAACTAGCCAGGTATTTGAGATTGATTTGGAATTGCGAGAGCAAGTTATCTGCCATGCTTCAAGAATTAACCTGCTGCAAACAAGACAGCACCCACTGACACCTTTGCAACTGCTGGCCAAAACCTTTGCCCACCCCATTATCATCACACAAGACTACAACTTTTGCTGTTGGCTTTTGGCCATTATTTCTGTGTTTCCTTTGTACGGAGTTACTTTAGATTGAGTTAAGCATATATAATGCAACTTTTAGGTAAACATGAACATGGCATGCGGCTTTAGTGCTTACGTATTGTAACATTGAGACGTTTAAGTCAATATTTCATCTTGTTATAAAGCTAATGGAGATTAATGAGGGAAGAAGAGAATGTGATAAAAACACCTTGTTATAAGAAGGATGGGAGTTTACTTGGATATGAGGTAATTTCTGGGCTCTACAGGGAAAGTGATGTATCAACTAACTTCAGTGTTTCATCAAAGCCCACATGGCCTATTAATTAACACAGCTACATTTTCATACTGTTGTACTGAAACAGGAAACGATAGAGTTCTCTAAGAATTTTCAAATGAATGATCTAAGTTCAATTGTGGGACATTTTTGCATAAGCAGTCTAGTGTTCCTGTGTTTTACTTAATCATATTTGTGCATATATACATTGATTGATATGCTTTAGCAAATTGCAATGTTTTAAAAGGCTCGCCTCAGGGCGCGCCTAGGCATCCTGTGAGGCTAGGCTTGAGGGTTGCCGCCTCTATTTTGAGGGAGTGGACGGAAGGCGCCGTCGGAGCTGCGCCTTAGGGGAATTTTTTTTTTTCTTTCTGATTTTTATATAATGGATGTGTATGTTATCTGCGTGCATTGTTATATATGTGTTCATTGTGCTTTTCATCCTTTTTTTTATATATATAATATAACATATGTATATATATATATATGTGTGTCTGTGTATATATGCATTTATAATACATGTGTGTGCTCAGAGTGATTATTGATTAATAATCTTCTTCTTTTTTTAATGTAATATATGTGTATGCTCAATGTATATATTAAAAAATTTAGGTCCCGTGAGGCTTTGCCTAGGCTGGGCTAACCCTTGGACGTCTCGCCCACGCCTCACGCTTTTAATACATTGGTAAATTGTCAGGTAAACATAAGGATCTTACAGTTGTGAACAATGGAACCAAAAATTTAACTTTGAGCAGTAACCTACGACATTTAACTACTACTGTCTGAGGTATAAAGTTTGATTCGGAGTTCAGATTTCTAACTGCATTGCCAGAACAAGAACTTTAGATTTGTTCCTGATGCTGGAAGGGCAGGGACATGTTTCTAGACCAGATGGTTTACCAGATTGGAAGACTCTACACTATGGTTGATCGGCTTTGGTATTGTGATCAGCTATATGTCGAATACAAAGGCCGTGGGTTCAATAAATCATGTGCTGAACAGTGAACTCTTCAACATTCTGTAGGTTTCCCTCTCTCTCTCCCCCCTCCCCTAGGTGTTGTGTGTCTGTCTGTTTGTGGGTGTGCCTGTCTGCTTGTTTGTGTGGATCTAAACCCTTTAGAGTTGATGATTCGAGTGCAACCAATAAGGAATTAATAGCGTTCGAGAAGTGGGTAAAGTTTGTCAAAGTTTGCCCATTCAACTGACCCCACTGAGGGTGAATTGAGAAACTGATTGCCATTACTATTTCCCAAGACATTGTCTAATGTCAGGTCTTCATCAATTTTCTGGAGACATCCTAAGCTAAAACCTCATTAGTAGGTATTCCGGCAATCAGCATATTTACTTTAAATAAAACATACAATAAACTGACAAACCTATGTGTACGAGCACACACATAGGCAAAGCTTGTTAGACTTCATCCGAAATTGTAGTACATTTGCATCATTTAATCTTTGCTACAAAATGTTTGATTCCTTGCAGGATAGACTGGTAGGAGATGGGCAATTTAGATAGATGTGTTTTTGCCTAGTAGGGGATGTGGGCACATGTAAATTCTGCATTGATTGCATATTGGAGGGCAGAGGTGACCCAATTAACAACCTTTCTGACCGGCATTTACTTCTAGCCAACTACTGCCGCTGTCATTTTGTACTCGACCTGGCTTCGTGCCAAGAATGCCCCAAGTGCTGAAAGCATAACTTAATATAGAGAGGGAGAGAGAGAGGGAGAGAGAGAGAGAGAGAAAGAGAGTGAACATTTTATATATAGTATCTTTTTGTTCATGCATTCTTTCGTTATTAGCTTGTTCTACTTTGATCTCGATCATTCTCGCTCGCAGATTCTTGATCAAGATCATGTCTAAGGTTTTCGCTCTCTCATTCTCTGTATAGCTCTAGTCAATTATTTTGTCTGCATGGTTTGTTTGGTTTTTCTCCCTGCTGTGCAGTTAGTTATTGACGTACCATTTTTCTCTCGAATACTTCACTGACACACTGCAAATACTTCAGATGGAATTTATATTTCTGAGCGCAGAAGTACGGAACAAATCTGACCGTCGCCTTTTTTGCTCTTGCTGCAGAAAACTGTGGTGTCAGTGGAACTGCTGTGTTCAAAGTGCAGGAAAAAGGTGATGAAGTTAATTGCAACAGTAGAAGGAATAACTTCCATTGTCCTCGACCCGTCGAAAAATACAGTGACGGTAACTGGGGATGCCGATCCAGTAAAGATTATCGGGAAAGTGAGGAAATTCAGAAAAAATGCTACGGTTGTGAGTATCGGTCCACCGCAGACTGAGAAGAAGGATGAGAAGAAAGACGTTGTTCCATACACTCCAAAGGCATGTCAAAGATGCGATGTTTGGTATGTGATTGCCGAAGATGGCTACAGCTACTGTTCCATAATGTAATTGCTATTGTACCATTAAATATTGCTCATAATAATTTGTATTAATTTCATGTTAAACTCACTAATTGTCCATTGGCTATCAAATGTTAACTTTGCAGTCATTTTTTCAAGTCTTTGGAAAGATTTGGATTAGATAAATTTTTTAATGTGTCGGGAACACCGCTCAATACACCAAATATCATAAGACAAGTGGTTGAAATTTTTTTTCCAACCATTTGTATTAAACACTTGGTGCACTAGTCATGCTTTCGGCACCTGAAAAATGTCTCAATTTATACGAAAGATTGTTGTTTAATTAAGCTATTTACGCCACTTAGGCCATCTCCAACCGAAGGAAGGCCAAATGACTCCCTTTAGCTCTATAGCACTGCAAGAAGTTATATTTTAATGACTTGTACCATGCCATGTTTTATACCATCTCCAACCGAGGGGGTTAAAGGGTCATAGGCCAAACATAGCCCTTTGACAAAAAATCATCTTCAACCGAGGGGGCCAAAGGGCCATAGACCAAACATAATTTTTTATTTTAATTAAATTAACATGGTTAATTAAATTAAACTACTATATTAAAATAAGGTTTTTGGACATATTTTGAGTTCCACTTGTCGCCGAATGAATAAGCTTCCGGATTTCTTATCTTTATACAATCTCAATAATTTTTTGATAGGATTTCGAGTGACACGTGTCACTAACGTGAGTAACCCTCCAGATTTTTTATCTTTATGTAGTCTTAATAATTTTTTGGATATGATTTCGATTGATACGTGTTGCTAAAGTGAGTAACTCTCCAGATTTCTTATCTTTATGTAATCTTAATAATTTTTCGGATATGATTTTGAGTGCCACGTGTCGAGATGTAATTGGTTGTGCAAAATTTAGATAGGATTCTTATTTACGTAGCACTTTTTATCTTCAGTTTTTAACGTTATAGGAATGGTGTAGGTATTTATAGGGAAAAAAATTATTTTTTTTTTTTAATTCGTCCAAAAAAAAAAATTCAAATTCCAACAATAACCTAACGTTAGCTAGCTGACCCTAGGTAGGCACTGGCGTTCAAATGGGCTGAGCTAGAGGGCTGGCAAAATGTCAAGCTTGACATTCTGGCATTGTAGAGCTGGGCTGGGCTGGAGGAGGGCTGGGCTGGAGGGCTAACTGGAAATGGCCAGTTCGCTGGCCTAATCTGGGGGTTTGGGCCTGATGGGGCACACAAGCCTTTTGGCCTAGCCCTCGGTTAGAGACGGTTTTCGTGTTATTCTGAGCTATTTTTAGCCATATGACCTTTTGGCCAAGTTGGTTGGAGATGACCTTAGTACTACATTTTAGTAGTATTCTTCTTCACTTGAAACTGAGAGCTCTTAGATTCGATTTTTGCCATAGAAGAATTTGAACCACATTATTGCTAACCCATTGTGAGGTTTAGCCTACTATCTTACTCTCTTATGGCGCGTTTATGTACCCGTAATCGGAATCAAAATGTGGAATTGAATTCCGATTACGGACTACTCCAGTGTTTACAAAATCTGGAGGAATTGAAAAAGTGGCGGGACCCATAAAAATTTTGGAATTCAATTCCTTCTTTTGGAGGAATTGGACTCCTAAGATCTATGAGGTATTTCAATTCCGCCTGCTGTGGGGAATCCAGAATACAAATTTTTTACCACTTATATCCTCACTTTATTTTTAAAATTCTAGCACTACCCTTTGCATTAACACAGAAGATCCACCTGTCGTTGTCCAACGATAATGTCCAGTGCTACTCCCTCCTCCAACACCGCAACCACCCATGCCCAGGGACGCAACCAAAACCCACTACTCCCACTTTCTGCCATATCTCTATGTTTCCCCAGGAAAATTTTGAAATCAAAATGCACTGGATTAGAGAGAGAGAGAGAGAGAGAGAGAGAGAATAAGAAGAAGAGAAAGAGGGAATGATGGACTTATAGTGGAGTTTATTTGCCATCAAATGCTCAAGACTTGAAATAAATAAATTTGAATTATAATGGAATGGATTGAGATAGCGAGAGGTGGCGGTGAGGAGTGGGTTCTTCTGGAAGAGAAAGATAAGATTGGTTTAGGGTTGAGTTATTTTTTATTTAAATAAATATATATTCACTGGTGCAGCATCAGTAGATACGCAAATCATGGTGGCTTACACTATCTTGGCTAGCATTAATACATATTTGATTTGGGATAAGGGCATTTTAGTAATCATATTGGTTTATATTCCGATTCTGCTGAATTAGTAAACAGCTTTATGGAATTTTATTCCGATTCCAAAACATTTAAGTAAACAGTTTCAACAGGAATCCGATTCTGACTTCTCCTCAATTCAATTCCTCCTCTTTTCATTACGGTTACCTAAACGCGCTATTAGTGTAGAGAAAAAAAAAAAAAAAAAAAAAAGAAGAAGCTGGTTACATGACAAATCTTGATTATGGCTGTCTAGCAAGATCTTGAGCTACTTTAAAATTAGGGCAGTGACTTAGGCTTTTGCATTCCAGTTTAACGGGTGAAAATTTCAGATTAGAGTTGGGCTATTGGCATATTATCACACTGACAAGAGATTTTTCAGTGTGACCGTCACACGGGGTAATACACCACGTGTCGTTATATAAATAGTGAGATATGTGTGTTAAAAAATTAATAACTTAAAAAAAATAAAAATTTTCACCACTTATATAAAAACACGTGATGTACCACTCGTATTTCCATCATAATTAAAAATTTCTCCACATTGACATTGTCTTTTAACTTGTATTTTACTATCTGCACGGCACGGCATGTGCCGAATTTGAATATTTTATAACAAAATGTCTTGTTGTAATTAAATGTGCTTTTCCGATGTAGAATTTATACTTTCTGTTTAACAAAAACCACCTCGTTATAATTATTCCATTGGCAGAGGGCCTTGATTGTTGGCTTCACTGGGGGTATGCAGGAAGTGTGGATGTCGGTTAGAATTAAACCGGCCATGCGAAAGCCAATGCGTGGTAAATTAAGAAATTTATTAAAGCAGTATTTTGCTGCATTTAATAAAACTATAGTTGGTTTATGCTATTTATACACATCTTTTTAAAATTTCAGTTGTTAGATCAAATGAATTAAAGATGATCAAATAATAAGAATTGACAGAAGTTACGTGAAAAATAAAAAAGATGTGTGAATAGCTTCACCCTTAACACAATAAGTGACCCAATGCTCGATATTCTTAGAAACAACTGAGGATGTACGTATATCTCTAGTTACACAATAGAATACCTCATTTAACGCAGAGACAATAAAATTTCGATTAGCTAAAACCAACATACCAAATAAGCTCATTTGGAAGAGATTTGAAATGGCTAAAAGTGTTTCTGGTAAAAATGATTTTGGAATTAATATTTAATAAAAATGCAAGCAAATTTTGATAAACACTTAAAATGTTTCTTAGGAAAAACACATAGCTGGACTTCTTGCAAAAATACTTCAAATGCTTTTAAAATTTAAAACCATTTTTAATCATTTTAAAAACACTTTTGAACAAGTCATATTAAAAAGAAGAACCTTTGGCTGCTAGAGCACATATATAATAAGAAAATGGATGATAGCTCTAATTGAGCAAAACACATAATTGTGTGTGGATTTTCCGACAATAAAAATTGATGGTTGGTATTATATGGGGAGTAGGATTCTCTTCTCTTTTTTTTCCATCCTCTTCTATCTCTTCCTTTCATATTCTTTATTTTGTTTTTCTCTTTCTATAAAAAACTAATATAAGATATTGACGTGGCTTAACTGTGACCATTCAAATAGGAGAGGAGGGAGTGAAAGGGGAAAAAAGAGGGAAAAAAATTCTACTCCATTATATGGACATTTGATTTGATGTACAGAAATGAAATGAAAGTATAAAATAATCAAATCAAAGGTAAGCATCCGTCTTGTCCACAAAATCAATGCCCCTATCGATCAAACATATGAAATGAAAGCTCCTTAATACCAAGGTCTTGGATAAGAAAGACTTTGCAAGGTTCTGTCCAAATACAATTTGAAATCTTTTTCATTGAATGAAATAAAATATCATTTTTCATAAAAATAAATATTGCAGATCTATCGCTTGGATTTTGACCTAATTACACATGCATCCTCTATCATTTGAACTCAAGGGGCTATAAAAAACTAGGGCTTAAACAACTATTGATATTTTGAATGATTTGGATCTTTAAAGCCCAATAATTCAAAATAATACCCGAAGGTTGCGAAGCGTGGTATTAATGTGTCTTTCCTTGTAGTACGGAAATACAATCATGTGGTGTAATAAACTCTCTGATATACAAAACAAATGCCATATCAAAACTACAGTGGAATTAAAAAAAATTATCGTGTACCGTTGAAACAGTAGTCCACGTGATTTTTTTTTTATTTTTTATTTTAAGCTGCAGTATTTGATTCATTTAAAGAGAGAATCCAAAACAGATTCAACCAAGTACAAAAGGTTGGGGCGAGTTTTAACAGAGCCAACCAACATTAACAATTACATTTGTCAGAAAGAAAAACATCACATTCAAAGTTTGGGGTTCTTCGAACCAAGAGCATTCACAAGTGGTCGAGAGAATGTAGCGGGCAAGGCGATGAGCAACCTCGTTGGATTGGTGACGAGCATGGGTAGCATAAGCTCTAGTGATCTCAAGCAACATGGACTAAACGAAACAATTATTGTGTATACTGAAATGTATTTACATAATAAATCTGTTCAAATATGAGTAAAAGACGAGATTGATATATTCCACTGTTAAAGTATCTTATCAAATCAATAAGTATATTAAAAAAATATTATAACACTTATTCTAATTATACCCACGTGGCAATATTCTAGTAAAGCATAATATTTATTTACTTGTTGTGGAATATAAGAAAACTAACATATATTCTAAGATATGCCACTTAGCCTACCCCTCCGTATATAATATCATTTATTAAAAAAGAAAAACAAATATTCTAAGATATGTAATCTAATATGGATCATTCATAGCATTCTATAGTTTCCTAATTAAATCTTTTTGGGCATGTTTACTAATTAAGAATTGAAGTAACCACCTTTATTATATACATTATTTTTCCTCCTCCCCAA